GGTCCGGGCTGGGGATTCGAACCCGCCACCTTAGGTGTACGTGGCTAGCGCCTTAGCCGGTTGAGCTATAGGGGCTGAGCCCAGATTTTTTTTTTTCAATGTCCATTTTACAAATGAAGAAGCAGTGACTCAGAGATGAACTTACCCAGCATCAAAACTGTCAGTGCTTTGAGGTTGAATCATGGTCTTGTGATCCAGAGACTGTATCACTTTTACCTTCACCAAGTACTAGTAAGGCCAACATGAATATGTGTGTGTACCTTGTTGGACCATGATGTAAGAAACGTGGGGATGGTTAAATAATTTGGATAACAATAATACTTCAATGGAAACAAAAACTGTAGTGAGAATTGAGGTCTAAAGAAGAAGAATTAGCTGCCCTTTTCTTTGAAGCTCACAAATTAGCTTTTTGTTTCTCTTTGGCCCACCTCTCTACCCTTATGTATTAGTGAGTGTCTTAGTTAAAATAATCTAATTACCACAGTTTTGTAAATCTGCAGAATTATTGCACTTTGCGGCCCTTCAATTACTTTTCCTATTCTTTAGCTAGCTCTGGCTCCATCATCCTAATTTCTAATGCTGGTCATGTGGGTCAGAAATTTGTTACAATTCTGCTCACACATTCTGAGTGGTATTTTTCCTTATTTAATTTCCCTTGTCCCGATTACAATAACTGCACCCCCAGCCCTTAAAAGGGACACATATTGACAGCTTAGAAACAGTGATAATTTAAAATATGACGTCTGACTTCTGCAACCACCCCTCCCCCCTTTTCAATCTCATTCCTTCTCTAGCAACATAAATGAGAAAGTAAAACCTGCACAGGGTTCCATTTTACCTCTTTAAAAAAAAAAAAATGTGTCCTTAAAGATGAAATGATAACGCTGCTGTTTCAGACCAAGGTTTCAAAGGAAGAGCCTTCTGCAAATACTTATATGCCCTTACATACGGAAATGGGCGTTTAAAAGCAGGTAGATGAGTATTTGTCCTAAAATGTGATCTTCCTTGTTGACTGTGGAGCCCGAAGCGCTATCCCTGTGCTTTGCTGCCACCTTGGCAATCCAGAAGGATTTACAACGCGGTTCTGCGCACGGAGGCTGGAAGCAGCGTTCCCGCTGCCTCTGTGGCTGGCGCAGCTCAGAGATGCATTCGAAATGGCTATAACTGAATGGCTTGGGTATGCTGCAAAGAGAATTTAGAATGTCTATCTGGTGGGAAAACACTTTCTCTTTTTTAAATAACTCAGTTTCAGCAAGATCCTCGGGCTATCTTCCGAATGCTTTACAAAGACGGAGTATTTCTTTCTTTCTTTCTTTTTTTTTCTTTAGTCCGAATGGAGACGAAGGAGGAAGGAATCGGTCGGTCGAAGATGTCCGTGTGTGGATCTGAGTTTGCGCTCTGAGCGACGTCTCGGTTCCTTTGGGCGTGACGGTGACAGCAGAGACACTCTGCTGACAGCTTTCTCTGGTGTAAGCTTCCATCCCGGGTCCAGGAGATGACTCGCCCCTAACTGCAGTTAACTTCTTGGGAGTCCAGAGCATTAGTCAAAGCTGTTTACAAAATGCAAAGCATTTGGGCAGCCAAGGCAGAGGCTCCTGAATTCTCTCTTAAACCGCCCTCAAAGGATATGAGAAAATATCGAGGATCAAAATGTAGGCGCTTAAAGCTGACCCGCTGCTGCTTTCGATGTTGGGACTTGGATTTTTTTTTTTTTTTTTTTGTATTGTGATTCTTGTTTGTGTTTCTCCCGTTTATTCCTCTCTAAGGCTGGCACACATTCTCCTCCTCCCCATTTCCCACTCACATTCCCACCCGGCATCCGGTGTGGTGTCTTAGTCTTAATTATTTGAATATGTGTCATTAGGCTTACTCGGGCACTTGATGGGTGGGTGGCATGCAGCTTTTCTTGTGGTTCCATTTATATTGAGCACGGATGGGTGGGTGCCCTCCACAATTTGTCTCGAACTCTCTCGAACACTAGTTAAAAAGCTAGCTAGAAAAAGCGACGAGTTCCAAATCTTCAAAGCGCAGCTAGGAATGAAAATAATAGGAGGGGCGGAGGGGCGAGGAGGAAAGGAATAAAAAACCAACTTCACTGGCAACTTCAATAAATCCGGCAACTGAAGGCAAAAAATAGATTCCGAGGGCTGCGTCTGGTCCGGATGAATCGCTAGGGCTCCTTCCCATCCCCGAGTCTGACTCTGGAAGCCCGCCACTGGCGTCTTGCCACGCGAGCGCCCCTAGACAGCAGCACACCCACTGGAAACTCACGTGAACAAAGCTCTCGTCTCGGCAGCCGCAGCCTGCGGTTTCCCAGCGGATTCCAGCTTCTCGGGGAGGGTAGGGCGTACACAGGGTTAACTTTGTTCCCTCCCTAGTAGGAGGGAGAGGAGGGGGAGGGGAAAAGCTGCATACTCTCTCAAGCTGGGTACCTTGTAGTTAGTTGTACGTTCCAAATCTGTCGCCGTCACTTGCGAGTTTGGTATCATCCATTGTCACCGCCGAGGAACCAGTGCTTGGAGATAACACCAGTGCTCGCAATCTCCGCGCCAAGGCGCCGCGCCGCTCCCCCTGAAGTGTCTCTGGTCCTCACCCCCAGGTGTCCAGCAGTGGCGAGACGGCACCTCCACGCCCGCCACTGTGTTCACCGAGCCCCAGGACCAGGTGGCAGTTCTCAACGATGGGCAGGAAGGACCTCGACGGCGACCCCTAAAACAATACCATGCCCCGGGAACCCCGTTCCTGCCGAGCCAGCTTCTTCCCTTTCCACCTCCCCGACCCTGTCGGATTCGGATGAGCCATTGCCGAGAAGACACGGCGGCCAGGTAAAGGGGCTGCTGTGCCGGGCGAAGTTTCCAGTAACCGCCGGAGCTACAGCTGCGCGGGCACCACGCTGCCTTTAGGGGAAGATTTTTTTCTTTTTTTGAACCAGCATGGGATGGTCATCAGGGTGGGGTCTTTCTAGGCTTTGTCTTTCACCTAGAGAGAAAATAGGCAGCTTAGCTTTTCCTTGACTTTAGAGATGTCTATCTGCAGGTCAAATCAAATCTATCTCCTTTGGGAGTTTCGTGACTGAGCTCTGGGTTAAAACGCAAATTTGCTTGCCAACTACAAGCGTAATCTTAAATCCGGGGCTTCAGCACCCCTAACTTTGCCAGAGTCCAGTTTCTCACTTCCCTAGAATGAATCTCAACTTCCACGAGTAACACCCCCTCCTCATCTGCTGTTAATGTCACTGGGGTTATTATTAAGGTTGTATCTAAAGGCACCAGCGCCTTCTCAAGCCGCAGTCCGGGATCGATTAGCAGCTAAACAGATGAGGTGGATAATAACTCGTTCTCCTTGGGTAGGGGGGTGCTTATTTTCAAAACCATGTCTATTTCTAGGCTTGTTAGTCTTCCTGGAGCTGGTGGGCACTGATCTAGGGCCATCGCGCCTTCCTGGAGCCCCTGCGGGGGTGGCGAAGGCGCTGGGAGTCTAGGAGGATGAACTTGTATTGCGTTCCCTGAGCTGCGTGTGTGGGACGCAACTGAGGGTCGGATAACTCTCCCCTACGCGCTGAATGCAGGGACAAGGAGACCATGAGGGTGACTGGAACAGGGCTTTGCCAGATACCACCAGGTTTTTGCAAGGCCTCTAGAACTCCAGGGAAGATCCCTCCGCCAAGCTGACCAGAATGGGGCTCGCCCCGGAGCTTCTAGTGCGGGCGCGGTAACTCATTGGTAATCAAGCCCAAGATCAAGGTTGCAGAGTTGCTGTCCGAACTCTAATCAGGGAGGAGAAACCTTAAGGGACAGTGACTGAGGCAGGCTGGACCCAGACTTGACCCCATGAGAAATTCCTGGAGTTTAGCGGGCTCTGGCCTGCTGCAGTTGCAGGTCCAGGCTAAGGCCAGCGCTACTGTAGTCGTTGGAGCTTTGCTGCGGAACCTCCCAGCAAGATGGCACTCACAGTTCCCTCCGATTAGCGCCCCCAGCTGCGCTCTCTGTTCCCTGGGATATAGATTAGTATATCCACTTCTCTCCACACTGTGTTTGGAGAGAAGATAGGCCATGTGTATCTAAGTCAACGTGTTTTCCTAGCTACCTTTACATAATGTGGTAAGGACAGTGACCAGCGTGCGCTAACAGCTACTCGTGTCTGCGTGTGTGTGCGTGCGTGTGTGTGTGTGTGTGTGTGTGTGAGAGAGAGAGAGAGAGAGAGAGAGAGAGACTGAGTGCCAGCGTGCATCCCCGCGAGGGCGTGTGTCTGGGAGGGCGTGCGTGGGTTGAGAGGGAAACCGGGCGTTTCTCCAAGTGGTCTTAACATTCATTTGAGCGACGCTCAAATACAAGTAGGCTGTAGACACACAGAGATGCAAAGGAAATAAAAACAATTGAGGAAGCGAGGCCAAGTGACTCAGGTTTTGACTGAGGATCGGAGTGCGGTCGCTCCTGGGGTGCATCCGGAAATCATCCCCAGCGGGTCTCCGTACCGCTCCAGCCCAATTCTTCAGCCCCAAGAACTGAGGGGATCCGTAGGGAGTTAGTCTTGGGCAAGTTTTCAACTCGCTGGTTGCAGCTCGCGTGGTCCCGGCAGCTGCGTGTCTCAGAGTAGCCCAGCGCTTGGCGCGGGCTCGTTGGCGCGGGCTCGTTCTCCCTCTTCTGTTCAGATTCAGCCTGTCTCTGGACTTGTTAAAACATGACAGCAACTTACGGAGGCAGGAGGAGCAGCAGTGAAAAGAGACGAGAAAACCTGAATATTCCTCCAACTCCCAGAAAGAGAGGAGCACCTGGTTTTCTTACACGTTACTCTTTAACCTTTGCAAAGACATTGCGAAGCAGAAACAAACGTTGCCTGTATACAAATAAGGCTTCTTTAGCTGTCAACCCTGTTTTTCAAATCTTTGAGGCTGAATCTCTGCTTGTCCACTGTAATTGATGAGGAAATTAAACAAGGCTCTTTTTTAGCAGCAGACGGGGTGAAGGGAGAAGATAGGGATGTTTAAAACAATCATATTCAACTTTAGATTTCCTCAATTAAAGTTATTTAAGAAGTCCAGGATGAGGGGAGGGATCTGTGATGGAGTGGAGTGTGGGGCGGCACATCACCAAGGTTGCCTGCATTTGAAATAACGTCATTTTGGTTGAGAAGCTTCTCATAATGTTACTCTTCACTCTCACGTTTCGATCATTTCTCAACGTCTAGGTAATAGATTCCTCCTCCCCTATCTGAAAGTACATTAGGGAGGTATGGGGAAATCGCCTTTCTAGGTTCAGTTGGTGGCATTATCCCTAAAAGATGAAGATAAGGGAGGGCCTGAGCAGGGTGGAGAGATGGAAGGCGCACTGGGTCAGGATGGCATTCATGGTGTCAGCCCCGGAGCTCTGCAACGCTCCTCAGAGAGGATAGGGTTAAACGCCCAGTCTGACTTTGCCTCTTGGAAAGCTTTGGGTTGCAGCCGCGCCTCCCGTGCATTCTTTAAACCAGAAAAGTGGGAGGGACTCTAGGAGGGAGGGAGAGAAAGAGGGCTCCGGGAGGAGAGCGCGCCAGTGCGCGAGGGACCGAGGGAGAGGAGGAGCGCGGGAGCTGCGGAGGCGATCCCGCGAATTCATTACTGTAAACATCTCCCGAGGGTGTCAGGAGGGGTGGGGGTGGGGGCTGCGGCGCCTACATTAGTCTGGCCGCCTCGGATTGAGGCAGCATTGTGTCCGGAGCAGCCTCCAGACCCGCACCCGGCGGCCGCAGCACTTGGAGCTAGCCCCGCGCCCGCCCCCGCGCAGCGCCCCACGCCGGGTCGGCGCAGTCAGCACACACGCATCGGAGCAGCGCCATCCTTGCTCTGCCGCCGACCCCCGGGATCCTTCCTCGCCAAGGAGCCCCGGAGCCGCGGGGCGGCTTTCCGCCACAGTCCCCGCTCGCCCCACTTCTTTAGGGGTTTGTTAGCTTGGCTGAGCGGAGAGGCGGAGAGGAGGCGGGGGCCGCGGCGGCCAGAGCCGAGAGAAAGTGGTATGCCCGAGCCCTGGAGGCGGAGGTGGCGGAGGACTGGGGAAAAGGATGCCGCGGTTCCGTGGGGGAAGTAGGCGAGAGCGAGCGAGGAGACCGGGGCCCCCGGGCGTCAGCGGGCTGCGGGGAGGCGCGCACCTCTCTGAGGCTCCGGCCTCCGCACCTCGGAGCCCCGACGCTGCGGGCGACAGGGCTCGGCTCCAGCAGCCGCCGCCGTCGCCACCGCCGCCACCCGGAGGACCGAGCAAAACTTTGGATCTAGGGGAGGGCGCGGCGCTGAGAGAGATTACTACCCGGGCTGTAAGGCGACCTCGAGAAGCTTCGCAGGTAACGCGTCCCCAACCCTCTTCCTCCTCTCCTTACGCCCGGCTCCTGCTCCCTCCCTGAGCTGTTCCAGGCGCTCTCGTGGTCTCGAGGAAAGTAAGAGCGAGGCGAAGTTCAAGAACCCGGGAATGGGTACCTAGAGCTGGCAGATCTGTAGTCACGTTAGCGGGGCAGCTGTGCAGGGAGGCGAATCCACTGGGAGTGATTGAGAACCCTTAGCCCCAGCTGGTGCCTGGTCTTGTAGCTCTTTGGAAATTTGGAATGTGAGTTCAGGGGCTTTTAGTATTCTTCAGTCCAGGGAAATGATTCGTGTATTTCGCTCACCCCCACCTTCTCGCTCGGTCACCCTTACCTAGCTTATTTTAAAAAATGATTTACGCTTAATGTCTGTTCGCCCGCTTCGTTTATCGGGCCCAGGAAAGGAAATTAAGGGAGGGGGGCTGAGAATTGCCAGAGAAAGGGAGAAACTATCCTCCTTTCTGATAGCCATAGAGTCCCCACCCCCATCCCCAACCCATTCACTTCCCGGCGTCATAAAATAGGAACTTTAGAAGTCACATTTTCATGGAGGGGCGAGGGGCGACATGTTCGCTCCGGGTGGTGTGCATTTTCCATGATTGTCCGTGTGCGTGTGTGTGTGCGCGCGCGCGCGCGTTGGGTGGTGTTGCAGAGGCCGAATTTTTATCGTTGTTCTGATGCACCGTGGTGCCTGGGAAGTGTGTGGCCGCGTGTGCACTGAGGCGGAGGTAGCCGAGAGAAGACTACTATCACGTTTCCCGAACAGCAGCCTTACTTAGGGTAAGAAAATAGTTGCAGCTTCCTCCTAGAGCAGAAAGATTGCAGCCCCAACTCCCTGACGCCCCCTTTCCCCCAACTGAGTTTTGAGTTTCTAAGCAGCTTAGTGTTTGCTGCTATCTTTATCATGATCATTATTTATTCACCTGGAAACTCATCCTGCCTTCTCTTGTGAATGGAAATCAGCCTCCAAGAGCTTTTGATTAATTTTAGTGAAGAGAATTTCTTGTAAAGCTTACAGTAAGCTAATCAAGTGCAAGGCACAAATCCGTGTAAATGCTCACGCTGGAGTGCAAGGTGCTGATTAGATTTCTTTACATGCTGCATTTGCTATGCAAAGCCTCTTCTAAATGGGAGCTATTGCTTCCTACTCAGCTGGGAGGCTCTTTCTTTAATCACGCAGGGTTTCAGGGCGCTTTGGAGCATGTCCACTCGCTCACAGGCTTATTGCAAAAAATTTATTATGTCTAACTTCTCCCAGCCAAATGAAGGCTAGCTTCCATGTCACACCGATACTGTCTGTAGACTTAACTGGCATGACCTTATTAAATCTCCAATTAAAGGATCCCCCAAAACATTTTGAGGTAAATGGAATGCAGGTTGCATTTATCCAGGGATATATTTGGTGGTTGCCATGTGAAATTTAAAATTTTAGGTCAGTACTTGAAACATTAGAACTGGATTATTATTACATTTTAATCACTGAGCAACATGGGCCTGA